CCAGCTCAGCCCACCAGGGGGCGGGGCTGGCTGGCATGTGGTGCTTGGGGGATTGAACCAGCGGTCCCTGTGCTTTGCTAAGCTTGTTCTAAGTAGGTGCTTTAGACCACTGAGCCATCTCACCAGCCCCCCAGTTTTTCTTTCACTGTGGATTCTTTCCCTTTCTCAGTATCTGTTTTACCTTTTATTTTTTTATTAATTTTATTGAGAAATAAATAGCAATGAGACAGTTTCAAAACTGATTAACAGTACAGTTTCAGTAATTCATACATTGCATATTATTATCTTCTTAGTGGTTATTCATAGTACAAGATGCAGGCATCATATCTTATCCAAATACTATTAGTACAAATCTTTCTTCTCATTGAATTAAGAGAAAGTAGCTATATATCTATACTATTTTGTATAGATAGATACAAAATGGTACTTCCTTTGTATCCCCTTTTTTTGTTTAGTTTTGTTAGAGATGGGTATTCCATTGCCATTTAAATACTATAGGTGTGTGAATTCAGCAAAATAATCCAATATAGTCCAGTAGTACATAAGAGTAGTGGCTTATCCGTAGGACTGGCAATGTCAGAGGTTGTTGACTTGAGCCTTTTACAGCTCAGCATATTATTATGACTTTAGGTTTTATACCTCATCTTTATGCTTTTCTTCTGGATAGTTAAAACCAAGATAAAGCAAGACCTCTATAACAAGAAATGTAATTTTTGTATCTGACAAGGTCAGTCAAATCCCCTCAGGATTTATCCTGAAACCCTTTACTGCACTTTGTAGATCCTTTGTCAGTGTCAGCCATGTGGATGAGTCACTGCCATTGATTGACCAATTTGCTCTGTGTGACACCCTGAGAGAATGTTTTCTCAACACTTGAGGCTGTGAAGCCGAGTAAAGAGATGATCTCCACACCAGCGCCTTGATGCACTGCCTTCTATGTCCTGGGAACATTACTCAGGACTAATTGCTTTAAGGTTACAAATAAGGACTGGAAGGGTCTTCAGATGTGATCAGGTGAGTTCAGGGTAGCAGAGCCATGGACTTGGCAGGTCTTCAGGGAAGTTGGTCGGTGGAATAGAGAGCACAGGAATTAAGAATTAAACTGAAAATAGAGCTTGTAGGGCACCTGGAATTCTAATTTCTCCTAAATCTTCTTTCAGGAATTTTGTCACCTGCAACAAGACACACAGTTACAAATGTCATCCTGGGGTTCAGGTCTCCAAGCTCAGACACACCTTCCCAATCTGCCTTATACCTAATCCCCACATTTGCCTGCCCTCCTGAGGACTGAGGGAGGTGACTTTGCAGGCGCCCTGGTCCTTCAGGTGAGCAGCCCTCAGGAGTTAAGGAGGATCTTGACATCAGATCCCACACCCAACCACCAGCAACTTCAGGGACATCCCACACACTTCAGGTCTCCAACACATCCTCGACGAGAGCAGAGCCACACTGTGGAGCCACACTGTGGAGCAGCTCATCTCTGAAATGACGGCTGTGAAGGCAGAATCCTTGCTCACACTGTGTAAAGCTGCTCTGTGAAAGAGGTTCAAAACCACTATAGATTTTCTCACAGGGCCTCTGTGGAGCATCTGAAACTGCACAATACTTCTTCCTTCCATAAATTCACTATATGATTGGCTTGTGTGATAACATTCCCCTCATGCTTGTGCCTCTATCATTTCTCCTTCTTCTTTGATGGTTTTTCTTTTGGTAGTATGTGAATCATGTAGACCTGCCTTAGATCATCCTGCAAAGCTTTTAGGACACATACACCCGAAGAATGTAGGTCTCTATGAGAATATAATACTATGGGAAAAAATACTATGGAACAGCTGAAAGCAACAGACTATGTATACACACTTAAATCTATAATATGTGTTTTGGTAATTTACAAAAGCATGTACTTTGAATAATACCACGTATTATACAGGACATATACAAATAAAAACAAACTCATCAAATCCACAGAATGTTTGCTTATAGGAGAAGACTTAGCTTAGACAGGCATAGAAAGACTGAAGATAGAATAAACAAATCAAGGTAGCTGGGGAGATGGCTCAGTGGAATAAACATTTCCCTGGCAAGTGCAAGGGCCTGAGTTCAGTCCCCGGTTCTGCCAAAAAAAAAAAAAAAAAAAAAAAAAAAAAGGAATAAACAAATCAAGAGAGAGAACTTGGAGGAGCCCATCGGGACAGAGTCACCACTGACAAGTCTGACTGACGTAGGCCTTCGCCCCCAGGTCTAGCGTGAACAGTGATGATGGTGATAGTGAGTAAGACGTGACCATCATCGTGGACAGACCACCAGCTAGTGGGCAAAGAGTGACAGAAACATGAAAACATAAACATGCAATGTGAGCTTTGCCACTCAGTGACCCAAGGAGAGAGCACACAGGGTATAAGGCGCCTGTCACACCGTGTTGCGATTGGGAACAGACGCTGGTCTGGCTCTTGAGGAGCTCAGATTTGGCATTTTGTTTGTAAGAAAAGTAGTGTAGGACAATGACTAAGCCAAAGGCTTTGGATTTAAACTTCCAGAATTCTAATGCTAGCTTTGTGACCTCCTAGTGTGTGACCCTGATCTAGGGGCTCGATGCTGCCGTGCATAAGAAGATCTGGGTATCTCTCCTGTGTTAAATGATGACAGCAGCAGGATCCACCTCCCACAGATTATTTGTGAGTATAAAATGAGACAGTGTAAATACTCAGAACAGTGCCTAAGCATATTAAGTACTCAAATTACCAGTGTTGTTATGGTTATGCGGAGCTGTGCTGTTAATTGAGTAAGAGATCAGTGAATATCTTATCAAATAGAGTTTGTCCTCCTTTCTCTAGATACAATAAACACTAGCCTTCCCCCTTCTTTTCTTCTGTGTCCTAAGATCCCCCACTCTGTAATAACTCACAGGGGCCCCTGGGTCTGGGGGACGCGACTGGAACACAGAGCCCTTATGATGATCACGGGGCCCACAGTGATGCCCACCAGGACCACCAGCAGGCCCAGGGCACAGACCAGAGTCTCCGTCGTCTCCATCACCTGGTTGGGCTCCTGGGGCTCTGCAGAAAGATGAAAATTTGGGGTAAGAATGTGCACTGGGTGGGGCTGGCCTGCTTGCGTATGGAAGGTGAAGGTCATAGACCACCTGATGGCACATTAGGGAGAGGGGAGGCGGAGGCCCCAGTGCTGGGAATAGAGGCCATGGAGGGAACCGAGGCTCCATACCCCAGTGCGTGAGATACGGCTCATCCAGGCCCCAGTGCTCCACCTTGCAGTCATAGACGTCCTCGGTGCTGGGAAGGAAGGTCAGGTAGTGGAACTGGTGGAAATGGTAATCCGTGCGTGGCAGGAAGACGCTCTCTGAAACACCTTCAGTGACTGGCTGTCCATTCTTCAGCCATGTGACATTGAGCACAGGCGGAAAGAACCTGTCCACATGGCAGATGAGGATGTTGAGCTTGCCCAGTTCTACGGGCTCCTTGGGAAACACGGTCACCTCAGGAGGATCTAAGAGAGGACAAAACCTGCTGAGTGCCCCATGTTCTGGGTTGAATCACTACAGTCTTGCCTTGGGGTATCATCTGCCTCAGGCTCAGAGCCAGAAGTCTCACTCCACTGATCAGCCTCACTCGGGCCACCCTTTCTCTTAAATGATGGAGACATTGCAGGCCCTCAGGTGCACTGGAGTGAACCCATGAACACTTGGAAGTGAATACCTGGTCTCCCATTCTGTGTGGTAGAGAGGGATCCCTCCTATCCATTCCCAGCTGGGTGACAGACAGGAAGAAGCAAAGGAAGGTATTACCACTGGGGGCCTGGGTGTGGTTGGAACGCTTGATCAGGGTGTTCAAGTTCATCTTCATTATACCAATCATAGGGATCCAGGGCTCAACATCAACGGTAATAGCTCGACCAAACTCCGGCAGACGCCACACTGGTGCCTTCTTGTCCATATCCACATATAACAGTTCATCCCCATCAATCTCTACCATGAGCTCCCCTGATGGGCTACGGGTCTGGGCAAAACAAGTAAAAATTGCCACATGATCTGCTGCATAAAAAAGCAGAAAAAAAATGTGATGAAATGTAAAAAAGAATATGTAAGTAGCAGAAGTATGAGAATGAATAAGGATCTATTAATAGAGAAGGCAGAAGGAAAAAAGATCAAAGGATAAAAATATGTAAGAAGAATGACACCAAAAAAAAAAAGAGAGAGAGAGAGAGAAACTGCAGAGACCAGAGCAGCTCTTAAAGGCTGGAGCAAAGAGCGTCAGTGGGCAGTTCAGCTGCTTCCTGGCACTCAAAATAGGGATTTTCCAACTGTACAGAGGCATAAGTAATAACAGTGACTAGGGACATTTAGTTAAGCACATTCTAAATGTCTTATACACTTTACTCTTTTAATTACTACCATAATCCTTTGAAGAAAATGCCTAATGTTCTATTTTGAAAATAAGGATGTTCAGAGAGGTTAAGTAATTTGCTTAATGTAACACAGCTTTGTGTACCAGCACACAGGTAGTGCCTCTCTCTCTCTCTCTCTCTCTCTCTCTCTCTCTCTCTCTCTCTAGAAGCTCTCTCTCTCTCTCTCTAGAAGCTCTCTCTCTAGAAGCTCTCTCTCTCTCTCTCTCGCTCGCTCGCTCGCTCGCTAGAAGCTCTCAATTCTTCTAGTGCCACAGATGAAAACTGTATTTAGAATCTGAAGGGTGAAGGAGAAGGAACATTATTGTTCCCATTAAAGAAAAGGAAAAACAAAATGAAACATTGAGAGGGAAGAAAACATTCTTCTGAAGCCAACCATGTCACTCTGGGAAGTTGATGCAGGAAGACTGAAAATTTAAGCCCAGTCTGCACAACTAAGCGGCTGATCAAGATCTTGTCTCAAAAATAAACAAGTAAACATGACTGGGGAGGTAGCCCAGTGCGTTCAATCCCCAGCCCCACAAACAGAACTATGCAAATTTCAGCACCCTTGATAGTCTTCAAGTTTCTGTTTTGGCTTGTAAATGTGAAACCGAAGTATGCATAGCTTTTGCATTTATTTTTATCTTAGGCACATAATATCCAAAAGCATAACACAGATGATTTAGCACTGGCTTCAAACTCTCTTATCAAATTTTTACTTTACAGGGCTGGGGAGATAGCTCAGTGGCATAAGCACCTGCCTGGCAGGCACAAGGTCCTGAGTTCGATCCCTGGTGCTAGCAAGATAAATAAGTAAGTAAGTAGAGTTATTTATTTTTACTTCACATAGAACTATAAGGTTTACTGAGTTTAGAAGGTCTGAGAGACATAATTGCTGTTTCTTGGTTTTTATAACTTTATAGTAAATAACAAAAATTAAGAGAATAAAACAAATCATCATCTTTAAATAAATTAACTAATATATAAGACTTTCTAGGCTTAGAGAAACAGGAGAGAAAGAGAGAAAAGGGACCTCAGGGCTTACCTGGCCTTGCCCCCTAACTCCTGGATGTGGGGACACACAGTCAGCAAAAATGATCTATCACAGGAATTCTTTCTCCGTTCAGAGGACTCATATTCAGGAAAGAGGATAAAACAACCAGAGACAAGCTCTCCAAGGAGATTTCCTAGTGGACTAAGAAGCATTTTCAAAGGAGAACTGAAGACCGAGAGACACATGAAATGTAAGGATGGAGTCCGGCACAAGAGCTCTACAAGCTGGTCCAACGGGAATGCAGGAAGTTGCTGCCGTGAAGCCTTATCAGTAACTCAAGCCGAGACCAGGAAGAGCACACACAGCTTTAATCTCACGGCATGACGACGGCCCAGGGGGCGCGCTCGGGACACCCGGAGACGGGAGTCAGAAGCTTCCCTGCGAGGCGGAGGCAAAGGAAAGAGTGCCCCAGCACGGAGTGCGAGTGCGAAGCAAGGAAAGGCTTTCTAC